CTCTTTCCTTAGAAACTCACTGAGCACCGGCAGTGAGGCATGGAGAGGACCCTAGGGAAGAGATGAGACTTTGCAAGCTTGGAGCGGGGCTGATGGCACAACACAACTACCAAGCATACAGTGACAGAGCAATTATTGCAGCTATATTTTTGTGTGTGGCTACCTCACTTTTTCCTAACAGGAGTCCTGCATTGACGCCAAACAAACAAACCCTCTTAACGATCAGCATTGCCTGTCAGTTTCGAAGGACCAAGTAAACTTGGAATTCTTTCCTCTGCCAAAGTTATGACAGGCAATATGAGAAATGCTGCAGTTAGATCTGGGGTAGAAACATTTTTTCTTGTTCTAGGAAAGTTTTTGAGATTTTAAATGTTTTCGTCTTCACTAGCATGAAATCATGATCTTTCAGAATAATTAGGCAGAAGTGCAGCAAGGACACTTTCCTCATCCCAGAAAACCCAGTAACTTGATAATTAAGGTTTTCAAACAATATATGGGAAACCGAACTTCAGCCGCATAATCCATATGACAATCTGAGCCTCAACTTCCCTGCTCAAAGATGGCTTTAACCATAATGTTGGTGTGGGCTGAATCTCTTCCAAGATTTCTTCTACATAAATGCCACTTTGTGTAAGCAATTTCACATTATTAGGGCCAGAAAACAAAGAAAGAGTAACCAGTTGCAGATGGCTGATTCTAAGGCAGGGTTGATGAAGTCTCTACATACTGTGAAGATGAGTTTTGCAAAATAAAAGATGAGCATGGGAACTGGAGAGCCAGTCTGCAACAGGAACCTAGATTTGTTTTTTCCATATCCAACCTGAGCGCTCTACCTACTGTATTGCCCTACCAGCTATTTTGGTTTCTGCACTGATAAATTTGCTACACGCTGTGCCAAGCTGTAATAAGATCTATTTTGCAGGAGTAGTAATCATAACGTGCAAATACCAGACTTTCACCTACTTAAAATTCCCCTGTAATTCAGACTGGATAGACTCTTTTTAACACTTCCCTCTATCACTGCTTTAGAGAGTGAAAGGTGTTCTAGCTATCTATTTTAATTATATCTACATTGCCTTCCAAGGAAATACTGCAAACCCGTAGATTTTTGTAGGAGGAACTCATTCAGCGTGGAGCCTTTCAAGCACATGCTCAGCCCCAGCAAGCTCCATGGCAGAGATCCTGTTTCAGCTATGCAGTTCACACAGCACCAAAGACTGATTCCCTGCCCCGAGGTTTTTGTGACCTTAGGTAAACTGCAGAGGAGCCAGGCTGAAAGTTGCAGGGCCCAAAAGCACTCTGTCCCCTTTGAAAAAAATTGCATTAGCTATCAGGCTGTCAATAAGGCAGGACAGAAAGAAAAGGGTGCCCTCCTCAACCTCAGAGCTACCTTCACCTGCAGGTTAGGACTGCAGGACCGTGCCTGTGGGCACCAGTCATGGCTTCATGTGGCCACTAAGCAGCCTTACAGCCACGCAGAGATAACAGAAATGCCACAGACCTTAACGTTACCTGCAGGTAACCGAACAAGTTTGCACGAGCAAGTGCAAATGACTCTGATGGTATCGGTGTCCCAGCTACCACCTGGTGCACCCCATACTTCTCCTGGGCTTCTTCATGGCTTCTCCTGGGGCTGGCATGGCTGTACTGATGAACCCACCTTGCTGCTCGTGCAGTTACGGGTATGTGCCACGGCGTTTCTTGGGGCAGGCTGCCGTTCCCCCCGACTCACCTCCATGGGCCTACTTCAGTTATAGCTGTGCTTGTTCAGTACCGCACTCTGTACTTT